GTAATATATTTGTGTAACATATTTTTTATAGTGAACGACGTTGTAATTTTGAAATTAAAGAGAGAGAAAGAGAGAAAGGAGAAACAAATTCCGAGAAACAAATTTTTCACATGCGCACAATATATTCGATTTGAACAATTATCTACACTCGCGTATGTCACAATTATTTGCAGCTGGCCGAGTTACAAGTTCATCCGCAAATTCCGACGCGACGCGAGAGAAAAAGTTAATTAAGGTTGACTAGTTTTGCGGGCGTCGCGTCGCGGCGAATATGTTCTTCTACTACTGACAGTGAAATTTTGCCTTGCTACTGCGGCGCACTCGTACAAAGAAACTGCTAAAGGAAGACAACCCCTTTATATACCGAACCATTAATAATGCAATTTTGCGTCCACACAATTAATCGAACAAGATATATCGCTCTCATTATTAACACTTCTCTTTAATTTATATCTTCTAAACTGTTTTAAATACATATTAGCATATATATTTTTACATATATATATATATATATATATTTTTTTTTTTTTTTTTAATATATATATATTATAAAAAAATTTATTTTATATATATATATATATTTATTTATTTAAAATATATATGTATATCATATTTTTCACGATACTTTTAATATTAATATTTACAACAGAATACTGTACACTGTAAAAAAATTTTGTAAAATTACATTAAAAATATGTAAAATTACATAAATAATAAATGTAAAATTACATGATAAATAATAAAAAGATATCATTTCTATTATTTATCGTGTAATTTTACACTTATTATTTATGTAATTTTACATATTTTTGTGTAATATATTACATATTTTTTTACAGTGTATGATTTGTTTATAAATTCAGTTTTGCAGTCTGTAAGTCGAATGTTGAAATATTTCACTCAAAAGTAACATTATTCCGAGCTTCTTTTACAAGCGTGTAATAATTTCTTTTTCTGTGCGCATTGTCTCGAGACATGCAACTCTATATATATATGTAATCAAATCGAGTATATTTGATGTTATTTCGTAGATTCTAAATTCTAAGAGAGTGTATTTGTTCGTAAGACGTAAAAACGCTAACTAAATTTATGAACTACGTCAATATTAACATTTCTCACGTACTACATGCATTAAAAAGATGGCGAAACTCGTCTACCTTTCTCTTATAAGTTTTTGCAATGCAAACTAGATTTATAAGACATGTGGTGTTTTCATAACGTGCGTTAATATTATAAAAGTTCGCTCTTATACAAAACTTCTCTCTCTGATTGCGTGAAAAATACATCAAGAGAGAGCAAAAAAATTGCAATGTCGTGCATAAGAAAGTCTCGTTTAATTAAATTGTTTTTTACAAACAGTAATTGCAAAATTGTTGGTAATTATTAACGATAATATTGACACGCGAGTATTTGTATTTATTAGATTTTCTTATTACTTTCTTATTAAAAAGTGTTGAAAGTTTTAATTGATTAGTTGCTATTTTACGGGCGAAACATGTCGCACGAAAGCGTTAAATTATAACGAGAGCGCTATATTAAGCTCGACATTATATTGTATTACTAAGGATTGCAAGTATATTATATTAATACAAATTGATGACGCTTAATATTTATTTAAATTTTATTAACTGCGAGAGAAAAGCGCATAAATAATGAAATATTTATTTTATTCGTATTTTGCATAATGACTAATTAATCTTAGTAAAACACCAAAATTATATCAATTATTATTGAATTTTGATGAGATAGTATGTCTCTAATTAAAGATTCACGAATTTGTTATAATAAATATTGCATACGAGAGAACGGTGCGATTGAAATTTTATAATCACAGTACAATCGTACTATCCTTTATTTTAATGATTGATAATATCGGTATCGATTTGCGACAATAATAAAATCGATAGTGTATATAATATTCTGTCTCTTGGGAATACAACTACAAAGAAACTGGTATCAAGAAAGAAGATCCTTTGTGAATTACTCGTAAAATTGACTGACAGAAAGAGGCTGATTCAAGCAGAAAACGTCGTAACATGAAAAATCACTCACGTCGCTCTTCAATCGTTCTCTTTTAATGAGAATAACGTCGGACTTGTCTCTAACAATACCGTGTAAAAAGATTCAGACATCGAGAAATTCTGTAAAAAATTGGAGCACAGAGAAAATTCGCATGGAATCGAGGAAAAAGAAACTTTCCACGATATTAATTTGCGAGCCAATGTTAAGCTTACATTCATATTAAATTAAAACAATCCCCTAACAAATATTATATGTATGGCATGTGTAATATTTAACTGTTTGACATGGTAATTATGTGCCTAAAGAAATAATAGTAATTATTTCTAATTATTTATTATTTATTTATAATTATAATAATAGTAATTATTTTTTAATAGTAATAATATTAATTATTTAAATAATAGTAATAATAGTAATTAAAAAAAGATTATCTATTATTATTTAAAAAATAAAATTTTTTAAATAATAGTAGATAATCTTTTTGTAATTACCTTAAGTATATAATCAGAAAATTTAAAACATAATTTAAAAGTATTTATAAAAGCATTTAAATATAATTTAATATAATTAAATATAATTAGTATATAATTAGTATTTAAATATATTTCAAAACCAAAGTATTTTAATAGTATTTAAATATATGTCAAATAGTAGCTTGTATCTTGTATTTAAATATTTTATTTCGAAATATCTGCTCAACTCTGTGTGCATGTATATAATAAGTAATAAGAAATATATTGTGTAATTTTTCATATTATACTCTAATAAATGTATTTATTACGCAGAAATTTTTCAATCGTATTACGTAGTTATTTTTAAAAATGCAATAAAACCTGTCTTTATTAGAAGCACTACACAGCTGAAATCGTGATACGCTCGAGGTGCTTTTTTCAATATATATCTTCTTCAAACATCAACGTCCACATTAGAGAATATTTGCTTAATGTCATTGTCAAGCGGCACCGAGTGCGGAATATTCATAAAACGATCGCGAAACGAGAATTAGCCGCATTAAATGGCGTACAATTTGCGCTCGTATACGCGATCGATTAGTTTCATCCTGGTATGCGTGTCGGAAATTAATGGCTGCCAAGTTTTTTGAAGGGGCGTCTCAGAATCCTTGATCTCAATCTCGCTAATAGATTCTCTTTGACCCTTCATTAATCCGAATAAATTGTCGCAAAATGAGCTTCCAAGAGTGTAATTAAATAACGAAATCCTATATACAGTGAAATTAAATATTTGTGTACGTGAATGGCTTTTCTAAATATTTAATATCAAAGAGCGCGCGAATGACTCACAGGATTTTCATCTAAATTTTTACGCGCGAAAAGTCACCTACAAGTTTCAAGGGTCGTTAAAGAATTAAAGTAAACTAATTCCCGGATATGTTTCCCATATGAACGTCGGTCAACGAGGAGAAACACATTATCCGACGCTATTATCGCGTGTTCTTCCCTTTTTGCACGTCAGCGAAAATCCCGGGTCGCGTCGGGGAATATAAATACATAAATTAATTCGCTCTAGAAAATTGGATCGAAGATTTTTCTCGAATTTAAACCGATAATGTTGACGTTCTAAAACGAGCGGGACTCGTATTATGTTTGTCGAGCGAGCAACTTTTCGCTCTCTCAGACTACCGTCATTAATTATTCGACGAAGAGATCAATGAGAGCTTAATGGAAAACTTTACTTTTGACCCATCTTATATATATAGGAATCTAAGTCAGTGGTGGAGAAACAATTGGCTTTAATCGCTTAATCGCTTGACATCTGGCTTCCTTCAAGTGTCGGAACTCAAATATATATCGAACATTATTATTAGAATCAATCTATATATATTCAATACCGAGAAACTTAAAAATTAAAAAGTTTCGATTACGTCACAGTTAGAGTGTTCTGTTTTTGGTAAGATTTTATTATAAAAATCGCATGGAAATTTTCGCGATAAAAAATTGTATAGTGCAAATTCACGCGCAAGTCATCTATCAACTGCCATCAATGACTTTTGCCCCTTCGCCATTTTCAATTATCGTTTTCTTTCGCCATACCACACCAGAGACACATTGAGAGTGTTTTGCGATTAAGCCGGGGAACAATAAGGGAGTCCGGCGCCGTGCGGTAGCAAAAAAGGAAAAAAAACAAGAATTTGCTCGTAAATTTCTGCAACGTCGCTCTCAACGACGTCGCCGACGAATACGACTCCGTCGTTCCACGCTTTACGAGCGACCGGTAGGGAAACTTAAGGTTTACTGACGCGCGAAGAAACGTCCGAGACCAAGGTGACTCTATATAGAATATTCCGATTATATGTATGTGGCTCAAAGCGTGTCCTTGTAATGTAACAAAAAGAGTCATTTTTATTACCTCCTGTTGCTACGTGATAATAATAATAATAATAATAATGATAATAATAATAATAATAATAATAATAATAATAATAATAATAATAACGAGAATAATAAACGACTAGTTCCAGCGTTCAAAAAAAATCATTTTTCATTTTTTTATTGAACAATGTAATGATGAAAATAATAATCTAACGAGGAAATATTTGACGTGACAATCTAGGGAGAAAGGTAATGAATGTGAAATGTAAAATTGTTGAGAAATATTAAAAATGACAAAATATAAAAAAGATTTATTTCACGACCAATGCTGGCTATTGATATTTATTTAATAATTGATATTTATTTATTTAATAAATTTATTAATTGGTAAAAAATAAATTAATATATAAATAATAATAATAATATTAATAAATAATAATAATAATAAATAATAATATATATATATATATAATATTAATAATTAAATAAATAAATTTATTTATTGGTCGTGAAATATTTATTCTTGGACTGATGATATTAAAGAATCTTAATCATTAATTTATTAAAAAAAAAAAAATGTTACGCAGATCACTCCAGTCCTTCTGCCAAAGGTAAAATCGAGGATTCGCATGCGTAAGTAGTACTCACCAAGTATGGTTCCGACGCTGCTGCCTATCGCCTCGGAAATCGCACCGTTTGCCAATGCGTCCAGACAGGCGCTAAGGGCGCACGCACACGCACTCGTACCTATAAGGTACTCCAGCACCATGTTCCATCCAATAATGAATGCTATTAATTCGCCTACTGTCACGTAACTGTACATATAAGCGCTGCCGGTCGTATGAGGCACTCGTACTCCAAACTCGGCGTAACACGCCCCTGTAATCACGCAAAAAAAAAATAAAATTATATTTAAATTAATTTTAATATAATTGTATTTAATTAAATTTAACTATATTTTTAAATTACACAATTTAAAACACACAAAAAAAATAAAATTATATTTAAATTAATTTTAATATAATTGTATTTAATTAAATTTAACTATATTAACTATATTTAAATTCTATTTAAATTAAACGTGTACCAATTTTTGACTATCTTTAATAAACACAAATAATATCATATTACATCCAGATTTATCACTCTTTATCGGCCTTTTAATTGTGATTAGATGTTTAAATTAATTAATTAATTAATTAATTATATATAGAAATAGCGATAAACTTTGTTTTATAAGTAAAAAAATAATTTGTAATATATATGCAAAAAATGCAACAATCTTTGAGAAAATCTTTGTAAAAGTAGTATTAATTTAAAAAAGAAAAATCTGCTTTCAGCAAATGTGAATATTAATCGAAAAAGCTTGCGAATGAAAGTGCAGCCAACATGATGATCGTATGATAATATCAGTGCGCTAAGTTCCTCAGTTTTGCGAGCTCGTCGCCAAAAGCAGATTACGAGGTGCGACGTATAATATTTCTGCATTGCGCTGCGAGCGAGTATTATTACGCTCACTATACAGACCATCATTATGCTTCTGTAACGTATAACCGACTGATTAAACGTCGGCTCAGCCGCATTTTCAATGCGAATTACATTGCGGAATAAATCCGCGCGCGCCTATATAAATATCATGTAATCCGCTTTACATCCGCTTACATCTTTTCAGAGTCGCCAGATGAACGCTCTGGCTCTCTTTCTCTCGCACACTTTCCTTCTCTTTACTTTTTTCCACGGTTTAACGATATTAAATTATTATTGTTATTTAGAGCGGATATATTCGCCACCCGATTTCGCATTTTCGACGTCATTTTACCTTTGACGTCAACCATCGCTTTTAGTTCTGCTAGTCGACGCCGACAGAGCAAGATTAAAGGAATCCAATCCAAAACTTCCATGTATTGTGATTTACGAAATACAGCCGTCGAATTTTTGAGGAGAGTCTGAGAAAAAAAAGAGAGGACTCTGCAAAATTCTCGCAAAGTTACTAAAAAGGTGTAAAGAATTTTATATGTAATCACACTGAAAAAAAATTCTTAAATTAATAAATATTTATTTCAATACTGCCTAATCAATCATTTATTTAAAACAAGTAAATACTTATTTATAAATATTTAATTTCTTTGTTTGTCACATATTGCAACTTATTGCACAAAAATATAAAAGGAAATAAACATAATTAAATTTTGAAAAGGGAGAAAAACTTTGAAAAGGATTTTCTTGTATCAAATAAATAGTTTTCACATTAAATCTATATTATTAGTTTCAAGTAAATTATTTATTAGGCAGCATTGAAATTAATATTTATTCAAATTTAATAATTTTATCTTTCATTTGGATATATTTAAAATTTTATCCAAGATAAATTTCCATATTTTCATCTCATTTTTATTTAGCTAATTTTAAAATCATCTAAGCACAATATTGATCTCTTCGCTCGTCACGAGTTGCAACTTATTGCACAAAAATATAAAAGGGAATAAAAATAATGATAATTGAATTTGAAAAAGGGAGAGAAACTTTGAATCGATATTGAAGAAAAGTCGTGATTTTATCCTTCAGTTAATACCATCTGCATCTGATTTGAGATCGAGGAAAGAGAATTCTTCTGGCGAAATGACACAGTCGCGCTCTAGAATCTAGAATGCAAGCGTTGATTTCGAGATTATTACGGGTCAACTACTGTGTATAATACTCGCCACTGGTAGCCAGCAACATCGCGCTTATTAATGACGCAACGAATTAATTTAACAACACGACGACGTGCCATGCCCTAGCTTTAATCCTGCCATTAATTCGCGCGCGCAGCAGCGGTATTCCTGTGAATATCGAGTTAATTAGAGTTTTGCTCTTTACATCGATAATTATCGCCGAGAAGATGACTACGGACGAAATAATAACTGAAATGCGTCTCACTTTTTTCTATTTTACAATTTCACTCATATTTTTCTTACACACGTCTTATACCTCTCCTCTATCGCGAAGGATGAAAAGTGACATCCGCAGGATTTTTTTCCAGAAGGAAGCATAATTATTCTTTCATCTTTTTTTTCTTTAATTTTTTAAATTTATTTTATTTCATTTTTAAACATCTTTTTTTTCTTTAATTTTTTAAATTTATTTTATTTCATTTTAAAAATTTTTTTATAGATATATGTATTTATTTCGAGAGCTGATAAAATATTCTTAATATTGTCTATTTTTTCATTTTATTTTTATATATTAAATATACAAATAAATTCCAGTAATTTTAAAATTTATTTTTCTATTAATTTATTTCCATTTTTTATATTAAATATACAAATAAATTCCAGTGTTTATTTAAAAGGAGAGCTTAGTTTTTTTATTGATTCCAAGGTAAATATCCCCTCTCATCTTCCTCTGCGGACGAGGATGTTGGGGTTTATAAAACGTTGTTAAAATCTTTTAGCAGAAACACTGACTGTAAGAGAGTTTGCGTGGTTTAATTACTTTATAAATTATTTAAAAGAAAAAACTTATCCATCCAAGACAGGCGGATACTGACGCAAAATGACGAAAGAGACGTGAGAATTGCATCGCAAAGATATTCTTGTGAAATTGCAGATGATAAAAGGATGCACTGCGAGCGACGCGAGAGCAACACACAGGCCCAATTGAGACGATCTTTCGCTTTTGTATATGTTGCGTGAAATTTGTATCCGCAATTTTGCAACGAGCGAAAACCTGCAGCAGGTCTGTATCAACATAGGCGTCTGCAGACATTTTTCCAGGAGAAGAAGCTTAATGAAATTTTTTTTGTTTTTCTCCTTAATTTTTTTAAATTTTATTTTTTCGTCATTTTGTTATTTTCATATTTTATATTAAATACACAAATCAATTCTACAATGTTTATTCAGAAGGAGAGCAAATGCTTAACTTTTTACTGATTCCAAAAGGTACATTTTTGGTTGGTTTTTTTCATTAATTTTTTTGAATTTATTGTATTCTATTTTATTTTATTTTCATTTTTATATATGAAATATACAAATAAATTCCAGTGTTTATTTAAAAGAAGAGCAAAAGCTTAATTTTTTTATTGATTCCAAAAGGGGCATTTTTTGAGTTTTTTCCTTTAACTTTTTTGAATTTATTTATTTTTTTATTTTATTTTTATTTCTACACAAATAAATTCCACAATGTTTATTCAAAAGGAGAGCAAATGCTTAATTTTTTACTGATTCCAAGAGGCACATTTTTTGTTTGTTTTTTTCATTAATTTTTGAATTTATTTTATTTTATTTTATTTTCATTTTTATATATTAAATATACAAATAAATTCCAGTGTTGATTTAAAAGGAGAGTAAAAGCTTAATTTTTTTACCGATGCCAAGGGAGGCAAATGCTCCCTTTCGCCTCCTTTTTTGGACGCCCATGCTGCATCTCATACGCGAAACAATTTACGGGGATGTTTGGGAACCTCATATCGCGTATACGGTGGAATAGTAAATTTTTATATTCGACGGGATATTTTTGGCGCTTGTGCTTTTGCGCGAACAGTCAATATCGATATTCAAATGGCCGACAAGCTCTCTGTTATATCGATACGAACGATAGCGATAGGTGTTCGGTGTCGAATAGTAAAGTAACGAGCAAGTACTTGTGTAACGGTAAACTGACGTAAAGTTGAAGCACCTGTACAGCTGTAACAGTACCTATAAAGTAACGCGCAAATACTTGTTAAAGTAAACTACTCGTAAAAATGTCAACTCTCAGTTTTAATTGCTAATGATATCTAATTTCCAAAGGAGAGCGTTTCTGTAGGAAAATTTAAAATATTAATGTATATAAACAATATTCTATTTTCGACTACAATGCAAAATATAATTGTGCTATTTTAAATTATATAAAGAAAGGAGAGAGAGAGAGAGAAAAGAAAATATTATTACTTCATCTGGAGAATTTGCAAGCTGTAATGTTTCTATTTCGATTCGACTGTGTTCGACAAAAAAATTCCTTTTAAAATAAAAGCTTCGATTGCGCTTTTCTGATAACGTCGAGGACGATCAAGACGTTTATATGAGAGAAATAGTCCAGTAAAATTAGACTTTTACTTAAAAAAAATTATAATCAAGCTGAATTTTTGTGGAGATCTTTATTTCAATGTTCTAATAAAATGCTAAAAAATACCCTCAATTTCAATCAGGGCGTTTTTTAGGGAGATAAGTTTTAGTTTTTTGCCATTATCTTGAAAACTATCAATTTTTTGAGAAAAATAGTTATTATCAAAATTGTGGCTTATAAAATTCCCTACACAAAAGCTCTGTATACTTTTTTCGTGGAATTAATCGTTTTGAAGATATAGAGCGAAATGAGAGGAGCAGAAAAATTATATTAGAAATATTGCAACTTTACTGCTCGTTTTACTAAAAAACGATTAAAGGTATAATGACCTTTTTTATAGAGAATTTTATGAGCTACAATTTTTATAATAACTATTTTTCTCGAAAAATTGATAGTTTTCAAGATAATGGCAAAAAAACTAAAATTTACTCCTTTTACCCGCTATAAAAAAACGCTCTGGTTGAAATTATAGGATTTTATTAGAACACCAAAATAAAGGTCTTCACAAAAATTCAGCTTATAACTTTTTTGAAGTTTTGCCCTTTCCAAGTCTAATTTTACTGGACTAAAAAATTCTGTAGAGAGAATTATATGTATATTTACGACTTAAATCCGAGCTCGCCTTATACAGTCGACAGATTTATATCGTGATATATGGTCGCGCAGGAAGACGAATTTTCCGGATCATATCCCGATCCGCCGAAGTCCATATTTTCACGGAGAAAAAGGTTCCTTATCCCCGGGCACGCACACACCGCGGATTAGTTACGTTACTCTTTCTGTACTTGCATTCGCGAGAGAGAAAAGCGTCTGATTTATCGCGCTATATCCGAATCACATCCTTTGCCAAAACAACACGGGCAAGAAAATTCCCGAAAACGTCACTCCGTTTTACGCTAACAATTGCGAGAAACGTGTTGCGCATTTTACAAAAGAGGGATAACTGAATTTTCCGACAGAATGACGCTTAACTCCATTTATATCATTTGTCAAGCCGTTCCTTCAGTCTTTCCTTTTACGATAAGCTGAACGCGGCAAAGAGAACACATTTTTTAATAATATTATTTATTTATTTTTATATATTTACTATATTTACATATATTATTTATTCATTTTATAATTTTGAATAAACACATTTCTCAGAAAAATAAACAAAAGTGCTTCAGAGTATTTTTCGTAAGATTTCAAATATCACATTATATTTTTATATATTTATTTATATACTATTTATTCATTATATAATTTTGAATAAACACATTTTTCAGAAAAACAGACAAGAGAGTGCTTCAGAGTATTTTTCGTAAGATTTCAAATATTACATTATATATATTTTTTGCGCGCACGTAAGCATTATTATTTAAATATAATTCGAAAAAAGGAGATTCATTCGGTCATGTAACTTTGATAGGGGTCGTTCGCATAAATATTTATTAGCCTCTGACTGTCATACATCATCGTGTCCAGTTAGGAAGTATTATCCTCGTTCCGTCGAAGCATTGACATCACACCCACACGATACAATCAGCGCACATGTGGCTGTCCATCGTTAAATTGATCGCACGTAAAAATAGTCGGAGCCTCCTTTCCGCCGATGAATAAAGGCCACTTGCACCCTTTTCTTTCTTTTTCCCTTCCATCTCTTTCTTCGCACGCTCGTTTCTTCGACCGCGAGAATTGTGAATCGCGGTAAAAATAAATTCCTGCTTTCGTATTCCGCTCGCGTGGACCGTGCAGATCTGGCATTATTACCGCGTATTATTGAGCTACGAAATCGCCGCGATCGCGTGAAAGCACAATCGACACGATACAGACCCTGAGAAAGAACAATCGCGAGCGACAAATTTGATAAAGTCGAGCGCCAAGTCGGAATTCGTATAGTGTGGAAACAGAGATTAAATCGTGACTTATTGTATATTCAGATAACGCAATCTCGTTTCCGATATATAAGCTCCGTTATTAATATCCCTTAGCAAGCAAGTTCGGAACAGATGCAAATGCAAATGCAGTGCCCGGTAACACATTTTTTTATGTATATATAACAATAGAAAATTATATATCACTGAAAAAAATTTATTGAATTTGAATAAGTATTTGTTTCAATATTGCCAAATAAATTATTTATTTGAAACTAATAATATTGATTTGATTTGAAAAATATTTATTTTATATAAGAAAAACCTTTTTGAAACAAATAAATATTTATTTCAATACATGATTTATTTCACAGTATTGAAACAAATATTTATTAATTTAATAATTTTTTTTCAGTGTAGAAATATTTAAAATTATACAAATAAACGCAAAATTATATATAAAATATGTCCATGCATAATTAGATAAAAGTGCCTATATATTAATATATATATATAATAAATAAGTATTTCTTCATATATATATAAATATATATAATATTATAAATGTTTTCAAAAAATATTTCTAAATATCTCTATAAATATTGCATAAAAACATTTTAAAATGATTTTAGGAATATTTCAAAATAATTTAAAAATTTTTTGTAATAACATTTTTTAGAATATTTAAAAAAACTTGTAAAAATATTTTTAAAAATATTCTTCTTTATCGCTCAGATAATATTATCTTAAATATTTGATACATATTTTTGAAATATTAGTTTAAATCTATATTCAAAAATATTTTTGAAACACGAAAAAGTAGACATAGAAATATTTTAAAAATATTTTCGAGAATTATTTCATTTTTTAAAAAATATTTTCCAAAAATTTGAAAAATATTTTGTATTGTATGGGTGTTTCATATATAATTTGACATGATTATATATGAACCCTTAAAATTTATATAATTATGTATAAAAATAGACATATTTCACATATAATTTTACGATTATATATATATATATATATATATATATATATATATAATTATACAATTATTTATATATAATTATATATAAAAAATTTTTCACCGAATGGCTCTGCAATACGCGAATGTGATTTTTAAATTAATTTTTAAAATGTGTTTTTTCTTAATAAAAAAAATTTTTTTTTTTTTTTAAGAAACGTAATGCACTTACCGGAAAAAATGGAAGCAATGGCTGCGATAATGAATGAGACGACGACACCAGGTCCGGCAACGCTGCGCGCCACCATTCCTGCGACAAGGTACATCCCTGTCCCGACGCAGGAGCCAACTCCTAAAGACGTCAGGTCCAGAGTCGTCAGGCACTTCTGTAAACAGTAATGCGGAAATGTATATTAAAAAATCTGCGCATTTTTTTCTAAACAAATCTCAATGATAAGCGAGAAAAAAGAACCTTTAAATAAAGTCAAATTAATATGGTTATTCCAGCATTATTTTTCAAACTAATTTATATGCTAATTATACAACTTCTCAAAGTAAGGATGTTCTTTACCGGGTTGAAGTAAGCGTATTTTCTTATTCTAAAATATCAATAATATAGTTCGCTTAAACTGCGTCAAAATAAACTTGCAATTTCCATAGATTCAAAGACAGAGATATAAATTCGTTATTTTGTCTACAAAACAGTTAACCGAAATAAAAAATAATTTCAACGTGTTTTATTGAATAGTACTATATCCACTAAGATTGATTTTTTTCTAAATTTCTTTTACAAAAAAAAATTAACCGGGATAAATTATTGTTCAAATTATCGTATTTTTGATTTTTGGAATAATAGATTCCCCGTGCACACGTTCGATTTTTATCAAGTCATTTTCCCTTGAAAAATCGGTGAATCATCGTGGGAAGATATTTAATATCGCAAAGCATTACCGTTGATCGCATAAGTATATATAAACTACAGGTAAATAATATAGCGAGTGCGATAAGAAAAGATGCGAGAGACACTTGGCAGCTTTGCAGAAAAGAACCTTTCAACTGCACTTCGCACTTGTTTGTATGCACATCTTTGTGGAAACAGTTGCATCTTCTACTCGACTTCTTTCTAGAATGTCAGTGCCATTTTTACTGCTTTCCTCCGATAGTTATTAATAAACGCGAAACCCTCTCCAAGTGTGCCAGGGGTTCTTTCCCATCTTGATCATGAGAGAGTGGCTAAAATGCTGGTGTGCGAATAAAAATAAAGCAATCGCAAAGTTTCTCTCACATACGCGATATTATTAACATTTTTGGTAATTGCGACAAAATAAATGGCCTCTCTTTTTTGACACTCAAACAGTCTTTTATTATTTCTATTTTTGTTTATGTATGTGTGTGAGGAATTCAAGAATATTTTTCTCATTATATCAATATATCATATTGCTTTTATATGTATATTCTATATTATCTTGTAATTTATTATTATTTATATTATTTTATTACACATATATTATTTCATGTTATTTAAACATGTATTTTACGCGTATAACAACTTTATGTCAATTTGATTAGTCGTACAATTGTAATTAAAAGGAATTTTTACATTAGCAAATTTAATTATAATGACTACAAATATATATAGCAACATTTCCTGCAATCGTTAAAAAAGACAGGAATAAAAAAATGAGAATGAGGAAAGATGATACATCGAAACGGCAATAATTGCAAAAATTATATGGTTTCCAAAGATCAACGAATTAAATTATCCGGTTTCACGGTGCAGTGTCATAATTGATCTCAATTTCTGTTGAGACGCGTAATTACGTGATAATGATAGAAAATGTATATTACGCGGTCAGCAATGTCGAAGTATTGGACATTGATCCGCCAGATGTATATCATTGCCATGTTCAAAATAGGAAGAATGCCACGTAAATTAATGCAAATCCTACGTGAATTATTACTGTACATGCGCTCGTTGCAACATGTCGTACATGTCGCAACATTGACGCTGATTTATGCGTTTGCGCGAAATTATAGAAATTTTGATAGGATTTTGGGGTCCACGGCAAATATATTGCTTTTTTATAAAAAAACCAATCTGGGAAAAATGATTTAAGTCTTACATAATTGTATTCAAATCATAAAACTCTGAGATTATATCAGTGACATTTTAGTATATTTTTATTACGTGAGCAAAATCTATTTTCCAAATTAAAACGCACGAAAAATACAAGTACGAAAATTCAACAAGATGTTTTCTCTTTTTAAAAAAGGCATGCAAGTCAATTATCGCAAATATTGTTGCTGTTTTTCCGCAGAGCTGATTAGTTGTCTCGATTAACATTGTGTGTTATATTAATAGCATCAAGCAACTGTCATCGGAAAAGTTAACAGTTTGACAATTGTAAAATAAAAAATAAAAATAATATCAATAACGCGCGCGAAGCGCACGCTTGTGTTGTCTGGTACATAACGAAAATTCAGAAATTAAAATTATATAGGTACATAATTAAAATTATGTACATAATAGACATTCGGGAATTAAAATTAAAATATAACTGTTTAATATAATACTGTAGCATCATTTATATCTGCATTATTTTTAAATGAAAATTATTTAATTATATTTCTCAAATATTTGTATTATAGTATTATATTATCAATTTACTATGCTAATAATAATTTGCTATCATAATTAAATTTGATAACAAAACTGAGTTTGATTTATGAGTTGATACAATTACTTTTATATGTAACTATTTATACTGTATTTATGTAGCATTATATTATAGCATTTCGTTTAATCTAATCGAATATATAATTACGCACGCAAAACAAAATTATATTATTCTTTGATGATAAAATCTTAAAAATTGCAACGTATGCACAAAAATCATTATTGCAATGCATGTATAAAAACGCATTAATTAATTATGCAATTCTTAAAAATTCAATATTTAAATCTTTGACAGAAAAGCAAACGAAGAAATAAAATTTTCTACAAGAATCTTTTGTGATCAAATATCTACGCTTTCATTAGACTCGCGCGAAACTCCATACCCTATACGTCCATCACGCTGCGCGACTCGCGCGAGACTGATTCTCCTGCGAGATATCGCGAGCGTGAAGCCGAGGTCACGTGACCACTGGACCCACTGGTCATGTGACCACTGATCATGTGACCATCGGTCCCGCGCTCGCGATACCCCACACGAGAATCAGTCGCGCGTGAACCGCGCAGCGTGATAGATGTGTGGAATGTATATTAATCTGATGAAAAGGATAGAAAGAGAGAGTTGCTTTCATCGAGCTCAATTCATTATTGACTGTGAAGTTGGATGTCAGAATGAAAGCGCAGATATTTTAATCGAAAGATTCTTGTAGAAAATTATATTTGTTTTTTGTTAAAAATTTATATATTGAATTTTTTTTTATAAATCACGTAATTAATAAATATATATTTCTATGCATGCATTGCAATAATAATTTTTTACATACGTTGCAATTTTTAAGTTTTTTTATCAAAGAATAATATAACTTCGCTTTGCGTACATAATTATAATATATTCGATTAAACTAAACAAAATGAGAAAAAATATATAAAGAAATACATATACAAATTAATTCTTAAACAATATAATAGAAATTCGGCAAATTAAAATTATGTACATAATAGAAATGCAATAAATTAAAATTATATACATAATAGAAATTCGGGAATTAAAATTATATACATAATAGAATTTCGGCGAATTAAAATTATAGTCATATTCATAGCATCAAGCAACTGTCATCGCGAAGATTAACAATTTGATAGTTGTAAAATAAATAATAGAAATACTATCAAAGACGCATGCTTGTGTTGTCTAGTATCTTTAAAAAATTTGAAGATATTATTAATTATCTTTAATAATTGTTTTCTAGTTTCATTATTTGGAATTACCAAATTACATTTAAAACATAAAATTAATAAATAGTTAACTATTTATTTTGTTAAAATTATAATCACATGGAGGATTAATATTTAAATAATAGTAAAGAACTCTTTATAATTTTGTAAGGAAAATAGTCGGTCGTTTGACTGCGCAAATATATAAATTTAGATTATCATTTTGCATAATTCTACGTAATTCTACGTGTCTTACGCGCCAGAAGCGAGCTATAATAAACGCTAAATAATACGAATGAATTTGGAAGTTATAACCGTGGGAGCCGAAATTACGCGCGAGTAATAAATACCGGAAATCCCCACGCGGGAAATCGTTCAAGAATTCGCCCCAAATGCATAATGTCGCTTACCGCGTTCGATCGCAATTTCGCTTGCAATTTCCAGCAAGACCGCGTGCACTTTGGCTAAATAAAATATTAAGCCGGCAAAATTACTGAAATTTGCGCGATTAAATCTTTTTCTATCGGAACAAAAAATGATACGCTTTAAAATATGTAAATGCTTTTCCGTTTTCAGCGATTATGGCGTAACGAAGTATACTTGTCTCGCTTGATAGCCTTCATTCGAATATCTCGCGTGCCACTTTCGCATTAGACAAAATTTGCGTCTTAGCCGCAGCCACCGACGGTCGCATTTGTGTATGTATATACATATATGTATACATATACGTGTGTTGAGCCTGTGTGCTACTTTCCTACGGAAAGTGGATCGGCAATTGGGAAACTTTGCGACAGTTTATGCGAGTTGCAACTACGGTACCGTCTGCTAGAAATGTCCACCGATGCAAAGTAATGGCTTTGCAGCATCGGCCACTACCGTCGTAGTTGGATACAAAAGTTTGCCATGTTTCTCTTAGCGGTGCGACTATATGAAAGTCGATAGATATACGCGAATTACCTATATAATATATATATACACGAATAAGGGATCCGCATTAATTGTTAAAAAATTATTAAACATTGCCAACATGATCAAATCAACAATTTATAAAAACGACACAAATTTGCGCATCTTTTTACGCTTTTTGCATATTTATATTGCTTCTTATATATAATATGTGAATTTTGTCATTCTCATCTAATGGACGCCATTTATGTCATTTCAACGAGATAAAAAATATTTAGGAAAAAAGATATTAAGCAAGCGGCGCATTATTTATGCAAGGTGTATCTAAATAAGTGCGGCAAATTTTAGAAGATTCTTTGCGTCGAAAATTAAATTTTTATTAATTTTTTTTAAATATTAATAAATATATTTTTATTAACGAGAAATATCTACCAAGTTTCATTTTTTTTAATCTAAAATTTGAAATAATTTTTACTTTCCTCTTTAGAAAAGTGTAAGTCCTCAGAGAAAGAGATATAAGAATATATATATGTTTATATAAGAAACCGCCCTTAATTTTTGACAAAGACTCATCTCCTAAAATTTTTCGCACTTACCTAGATACACCCTGTATAAGCAAATTAATTTTTATAATATTATTTATAAACAATTTCCGTCTCATTCTGTCAAAATAAACAGAAAAGTTCCCTTGTAAATTTTCATCGCATACAGGCTCTAATGGTCGGCGTGTCGCTCTAATTGATAATTAGAAACAATGTTAAACGTCTACCTCTCTTTAATTAACCCTCCACACTCATGTTTGTTTTTCACAGTTGCCTTTCTCCTCACGCAGGAGAGCCAGCTTCTTTTACTCGTTCAAGTAGGAGCTCGGACAAGCAATTGGAGGAAAACAAAATGACCGACTTAACAGCGTCGTGAATAAAAATGCGAAAAGTTTCTCGTCGATGGCTTAAATTTCTCAAAGTGTAAAATCCTCGCAACGTTAAAAATTGTGTCATTACCTGTAATTTCTGCTTGGAGTCGGCTGGATGAAGTGGCTCGGGACCGGTTTTGGGTTGATCACCCTGCAGACTTTCGACGTTCTTTGTACGTATGAACTTGCTGAAGAGCTCGAGGCCCTTTTCCCGGTCCAGATCGAGCTTCATTTTTCTGCAAATTGAAACGAGAAAAACAGTTACATCAACAGCAGAGAGCTTTTGGTCGATGTTTTTAAAGGTTTCATATATTGCGACGTGTATGTATATACACATATATAATACACATTAAATATAATATAACATGGAAAACGCATCAGCGAGAGATAGACATAATAATAAAACCAGATATAATAATAAAACTAGGCTCGAACATCTGTCAGCTGTTTGCTGATAAAGAGAGGAGGAAGAAATAATTAGAGAATAAATGTGTATCTGAATGAAAATGTATGAATAATCTCAATTTTTGTCAAACGAAAATTAATAAAATATACGCAGCGATGAGAATAATAATGTTCTCCGCAGACAGAATAAAATGGAACTTTCGGGTAAGCTTACACGTTAGAAATGTAAATTGCATAATACACGTATGCGATAATTAAAAGATAATTAAAAATGGTAACAATGTGTAAGACTGTTATTTCCAGCAAAAGGTTAATAATATCTATCTGTACGTAACCTCTTTACAAGATTAAAAATAGCTTCCATTATGAGTATGGCGAGTAGTTTAAAGGTTATGAAATAAATAAGAATAGACAAGTCATATATGTTCTTTATCATAATTTCATGAATGCTTTTGATATTTAAGAAGGTAATATTGAAAATAGAAAAATCACAGAAAGCATATTTTAAACACAAGAAGAATAACATTTTATTTATGTACGTTAAAACGAAAACAATGGACGCCATTTATGTCATTTCAACGAGAAAAATATTTAGGAAAAAATATTAAGCAAGCGAATTTTAGGAGAAGCTTCTTTGTGTCGAAAATTAAGTTTCTATTTTTTTTTAATATTAATAAATATCCTATTTTTAACGGAGAATATCCAAGTTTTATTTTTTAATTTATCTGAAATTTGAGAAAAAATAAAAATAAAAATAAAAGTACTGAGAGAATAAATTGTATAATTTATTATTAAAAAAATGAAATAATTATTGCGATATAATACAAAAACAATAAGAACAATTTTAAAGAACTTCAATTTAAAAGATTTATTTGAAAAATATCTATCTGGCAAGTATCGAACCTTGTAAAAGAATTGTTTGCATCGTGAATTCCATTCATCTTCCCGTCGAGAAATAACTCGAACGTAGGCGCGAAAAAAATGACTAGCTCCGTCGCATAATCGAACGCAAATCGACTGTTTCCGGAAACAAACGAGTTTTGAAAAAAAAAGAAAGAAAAACATTGTGCGACACATGTGCACGATGTTTTTCTCTGCAACTCGCTCGTTTCCACAATTGGAAATTGTATATGAATTATCGATTTATTATCCGGCAATAAGAAGCGCTGCTCCTCAAACATTGCAGCTTTTGCACGTCCTTCTAATCCTGCTCTTACGCAAACTTATCCAAGGATAGAAATTGTCTGGAGCGTGCTTTTAATATCCCGTTAAATTATTCAGAATTTTTCCCGAAATCGCGACACTACAGATTTAATTATTCAAAAATGCTAAAATTACTTGTCATTAATATATAATTTTTATAATAGATTTATTAACAGAAATCAATTTAATTTAGAACAAATTTTTCCCGATTAAAATATCAAAGTGTCGCTATTTTAAAATGCAATTAATATAAATTAATTAATTATAAATTATAAATATAAATGTAAATTTCATTTTTATTTATATAAATATAAATTTTATTTTTCAAATATATTACATGTGAAAAAAATGCTAAAATTACTTGTCATTAATGTATAATTTTATAACAGATTTATTAACAGAAATCAATTTAATTTAGAACAAATTTTTCAGTGTCGCTATTTTAAAATGCAATTCATATAAATTAATGAATTAGAAATTATAAACTTCACTTGCCAGTTCTAAAAATGTTTAATAGATTGTCCTGTTGAGAATGTTAATTTGTATAATTGCGTATCTAATGTATTACATGTGAAAAAAAATTACGACAAACGCTTTATATAAAAACTTGCAAAAAAAAGAGATTACCCGATGTATTGTAAATTGAATGATTTCAAGAGAAATATTTCCATAAATCGGTGCGTACAGTACAGAATTGTAAAATAAAATTGGAATAGATATTTCTGTGAATAATTCCAATGGGATATTGCGAGCATATCGGGACGATTACTCATCTCGATTATTCCCTTGAGTTCGATTAAAACGAAAGGAGTCGCGCTATTCGCTGTCTGGCAGTCGTTTGTAATGCAGACGCGATGCACTCTTCACAACGGATTATGCAAACGACGAACAGCCGGGATAATCGCCAAACGAGCGAGCGGAAAGACAAGGATGGATACTATACAGTGTATTAATGGGAATAAATTATTCAGTCGGGACACACGCGGCGAAAGGCTGAGAGCAAACTTTACTCGCCCCTCGGTAATAGATTTTCAAGGTATGCTCGGAATTTTGCCCCAAGATTCTCACCGATGAGAGAAAGCAAGCACGTGCGACACGTCATGCTGACGAGTCACGAAATCTGTATCATGTTCGAACGAATGAGCGAAATTTCCCAGCAGAGATGTAAGTTGCACCACGGAGGTTTATTTCACGACCGAATTGAATTTTCGAAAATACGTTAGATAAACTCTGATGAAGATTTAACAAACCAAATTCGAATTTTCTCTCTATTTCCTCTATTTGTAAAGTATAATTATGGAATTACATCACCGATAATAAAATCGATGATAAAATTGACTATAATTGCATGGTAAAAAAAATAGTCAAAATATTCTTTTTTTTTTTTTAATAGTGAATTCTACTAAAATACTAGTAATACAAACCAAAACCAAATTTGAATTTTCTCTCTATTTCCTCTATTTGTAAAGTATAATTATGAAATTACATCACCGATAATAAAATCGATGATAAAATTGACTATAATTGCATGGTAAAAAAATAGTCAAATATTCTTTTTTTTTTTTTTAATAGTGAATTCTACTAAAATACTAGTAATACAAACCAAAACCAAATTTGAATTTTCTCTCTATTTCCTCTATTTGTAAAGTATAATTATGGAAATACATCACCGATAATAAAATTGATGATAAAATTGACTATAATTGCATGGTAAAAAAATAATCGGAATACTCTTTTTTTTTAATAGTAAATTCTACTAAAATACTAGTAATATAAACCAAATTCGAAGTTTCTCTCTATTTCCTCTATTTATAAAGTATAATTATGGAAATACATCACCGATAATGAAATCAATGAATAAAATTGACTATAATTGTATGATAAAAAAATTATAGTCGGAATACTATTTTTTTAATAGTAAATTCTACTAAAATACTAGTAATATAAACCACATTCGAATTTTTTCTCTATTTTCTCTATTTATAAAGTAGAATTATGGAACATTGGCCTATAAGGATACCTGAAAAAGTAATAATTTTTTTCTTATTCTATTTTAAGTGACCACAAAAAAATTATTTTTAATAATAAAAACGATGATTGGTTTCTAGAAATAACAATAGATTTGCTGCAAAATCGATCGACCGGATTCCGCACAATCGCACCTTAACATGGCAAAATGCAATTAATCCTTTGTATGCTATTCGCGATATTTTACCTTGAGAACATCAACAATCTCTTTACGTCACTTCTTCCATCTTGTCATAGCCGCAAAACCGCTTGTACTAATGGTTTACTTTCACGAATCGATTTTTTAATAATAAAATATACATTTTAAAAAAAATATCACAATATTAACTCTCCGTCAACAATCTTAAGGCACAAGCAAATTTCCATTTATTTTAAATTTTGCTTTGTATAAACATAAACAATTGACTTTAAAATTGTAATAGAAATATATTAACAAATAGTCCAGAATTTTTTTGGATTTTTGGAAAATCTAGAACATAAAAATAATATGAGATAAACTTAAAAGACCCAGTTTAATGACATTAGTAAAAAAAAAATTGTTGACAGAGGGTTAAATAAAAAATTGAAATCTCTATATTATAATGTAAAGAAAATAAAATTATAAAATTAATATTAATTATAAAGAAGCAATAATATGATACTAGACGCAAGTCTGAGTGTCGCATATATTGATAGGTTGAAAATTTTCAATGAAATTCTATCTATAAATAGAAAACTTGCAACCTTGCAATATCCGCGAAGTAAAATAATACGTGGGCTCGTTTCGTCGAGCGATCGTTTTCGACGATATCGCGAGTTTTTAATTAAGAACGACGGCGAAACGAAAGCGTGCCGTTGCTTATCACGTAGATATCGTGTCGAGACATTCGCGATGAAACAGAAGTGTGTTCGTGTTTTTCGAATCGTTACTCCCCGGGAAAAAATTTTTATAACAATATAAAATTATATATATAATTATATATAAAATTATATATGAAATATGTCCATACATAATTAGATAAAAGTGCTTTACATATATATAATTATATAAATTTATATATATATATAAATATATTTATTTATATATAAATTTATATATATATATATATATATATATATATAAAATGAATATTTTTTCATATATATAATATATATGTTTCATATATAATTTGACATGATTATATATGAATCCTTATATAATTTATATATTTATATAATTATATATAAAAATAGACATATTTCACATGTAATTTTACAATTATATATATAATTATACAATTATTTATATATAACTAAATATAAAAAATGTTTTCCCTGGTCTGCCATTAAAACTACAACGTTTATGTTCTTTTCTCTTCTTGGGAAAGAGGTGAGCTTGAGAAGCGCGGTTTCTTTCCGCACGCTTAATCCGCATAAAATTGATTTTTTCACGTCGAAATATCTCTCGATAACGAGCTCGGCCGTCTTAACGAGAGAATGCACTTAGATTTGTGCCATTTACCCGCAAAATGCGCTATTACGTGATTATCCTACCAAAGTTTCTATTTCAAACGCAAACATCCAGGAAAGAGAGGGAGAATCGCGAAAGCCACTACGAGCTCGGGATAATAATCCGAGTCAA